CCCGCCGCGGGGCGTCCCAGCCTGCGACTTGCTCGCTCAGTGAGTTTCTGACTCGGAGCTTTCGCTCTGCAGCTGTGGAGCGGGGAGATGAAGCCACGTTCCGTGTAGGGTTCCTGGGGGGAGACGGCAGGGGACGTCTGTGCTGTAGGTGCTTCGGCTCTTCCCTAGGGACCCTCCCCAGAGCCGGAGAAGGAGATGGGGATGCACCGGCCCCGCCCGAGGCCAGCGAGCTAGCACCGCAGGGCGTGCCCTGGGGCTTATATGGATCTCTTCCCTGTGGGCGTGACGGTCGACCACCGGCACCTTTTTTTTTAAGTTAACATTTTGCTTATTTTTTAAATAATGGTACTTACTATTTTACAAAATGGACAGAACCAAAAGGTAGAGTGAAAAAAGTTCGCATCCCTAGCACTACTTCCTGGAGATAAGTTCTGGAAGCGATATGCAAAAGACCTTTTCTAAAAGTATTAAATATAATCATGCTGCGTTTGGCAGTGACAGGGTGAAAAGGAAGTAATATTAGCTCTGTGACCCCTTCGCATCCAAGTTCTCCGTAAGCGTCTTGAGTAGGGGCCTGGTTCTGATTAGCCCTCAGCACTCTGTCGGGCATGTGAGCATCCAATCAAAGGAGAGAGAACATGGGCCCCACCCAAGAGGAGGCATTTGGGGTAGGAGAGACACACCCACAGAAGGCTTGAGGGGTGTTTGAAAGGAGCTCTGCCCTGACACTCAGCTTTTTTGGCTTTTAATCCAGGCTCTGTGGGTCAGGACTGCTCCGGTTGAAGGTTCACACCTGCAAAGTGAGAGCTGCTTGGACTCAGCCCTGCCAGCTGTGCAAGGTGGGGGTTCCAGGAGGCAGGGTTTTGCTCTGCATTTTGTTGCCAGTGGGCCCCATCACATGTACACATACTCTTGCAAAAGGTCTGCAAATCTTTTGTCTCCCAAACTGGCAGCTTGTTTGTTGTCTTGGCCATCTTGGCTGTCTCCTGGGGCTTGGAAGCATTCTTTAGTAGAGAGTGAGGTCCGAGTGGCATCGGGGGTACCGTTAGGCCTTCTGAATTGGACTTGGCCCTTCTTTGTTTTCTCTATTTCACCCAGAGAAGAATAGGAGACAAATGTCACTCCTGGACCTGAGGGTTTTACTAAGAAGCTAATGACTTGGCCTTGATTTGGGGAGGATTCCCAGAATAAAAGGCTCTCGTAATCACAGAGTCTTCCTGGTATTGTCCTCTCTCTCCCACTTTCAAGGGATGAAGAGGAAGATTCGTAGTTACTTGACGTTTGCTGAACACCAATCAGATCCTAGTTCCTGTGGTAGGGGCTCTCAATTTTTTCCCCGAATTTTATTTGTTTAAAACGATTTACGTACAGTAAAATTCACTCACTTGGTGTCCAGGACTATGAGTTTTGATAAATAGAGTTACACATCCACCAATTAAGATGCAGAACAGGTCCATCACCCTCAAATTCCCTCTTGCTATATCTTTGTGCACCCCACACCCCTAACCCTTGGTACTACTAGTCTGTTCTCCAACTATTTAGTTTTATTTCTTCTAGGAAGTCATATAAATGGAATCATACAGTAGGTAGCCTTTGAGTCTGGCTTTTAGCCCAATATGTTTGAGATTGGCTCCTGGGTTGTGCGGTATGTTGTGTGTATCAACTGTTGTTCTTTCTGTTTAATGCTGCGTAGCATTCCATCCTATGAATGTGCCACTGTTTGTTTACTCGGTCTTCCATGTGTCTTTAATAGCAGCCCTTTGAGTTATTATGTATCCATTAGACAGTGAAGAACTGAGGATGGGAGATGCCAAATAGCAGAGCTAACTTTTTTTAATCCTCACCAGAGGATATGTTCCTATTGTTTTTGTGTGTTTGTATTAGGGTGAGGAAGAGAGAGACAGAGAGAGAAAAACATCGATGTGAGCGAGAACCATCCATTGGTTGCCTCCTGTTTGTGCCCCCACCAGGGATGGAACCCGCAACCTAGGTATGTGCCCTGCCTGGAATCAAACCTACAACCTTTTGGTAAAAGGGATGCTGCTCCAAACAACTGAGCCACCTGGCCAGGGCAGCAGAGCTAAATCTTGATCTAAGTGCAGAGTTCTTTCCCCCACACCCAAGAGCTGATTTGGTCCACTGACCCAATTAGCATTTCTTTATTTACCATCCAGGAGGTTTTCAGGCTTCTTGAATTCCTGGAAAATACCCTTTCTAGAATGTGGGGCCTGAGGATAATGAAGGAAAATATACCCTGCAGTGTATGACTCACCATGTGTGCTCTTCTTTTTCTGTCTGGTGACAAGCTCACAAAATCATACACTTTAAAAAAAAAAAGATGTTTTTATTGATTTCAGAGAGAGAAAGGGAGAGGGAGAGAGAGAGAGAAGCATGGATGAGAGAGAAACATCAATCTGCTGCCTCCTGCACGCCCCCTCCTCGGGATCGGGCCTGCAACCTGGGCATGTGCGCTGACAGGGAATCGAACCAGTGACCTCCCAGTTTATGGGTTGAGGCTTAACTACTGAGCCACGCTGGCTGGACAAAATCATACAATATTTAAGGGAAGAAAGTTGTCTAAATCAGTCCCAGGTTGTGACATAACCACCTGCTGCAGGTATGAGTGTGACCATCTTGTTTTCCTTCCCTGGAACCACCAGGAAAGAAAGGACATAACCCCTGGACCTCCCTCCACAAACCCCTGGACCTCCCTCCACAACGATGTCGGAGCTCAGTGACGAAGCCAGTGAGCCAGAACTCCTGACCCGCAGCTTGTCTATGTGGCATGGGCCAGGTGCCCAGGTCAGCTGGGAGCAGCTGGCCATCCCCTTGGATCTCCATACAGCTGCTTCCATCGGCCAGTATGAAGTGGTGAAGGAATGTGTGCAGCGGTAAGACATCTTGGGAAATATTCCTCCTCTTTATTTTTTTATTTTTATTTTTTTAAAATATATTTTATTGATTTTTTACAGAGAGGAAGGGAGAGGGATAGAGAGTTAGAAACATCGATGAGCGAGAAACATCGATCAGCCGCCTCCTGCACACCCCCCACTGGGGATGTGCCCGCAACCAAGGTACATGCCCTTGACCGGAATCGAACCCGGGACCCTTCAGTCCGCAGGCCGACGCTCTATCCACTGAGCCAAACCAGTCAGGGCTATTCCTCCTCTTTAGATTTTGAGGCCCATCTCAGTGGCCTCAACTCCCACATAGAGATATGAGTAAGCTAACCAGGATTCATAGACATTTAGTACATATGGCCTAGATTAACCCTGCTTCTCTCAGGCAGTTGTGAATAATGGTTTATGCTGGACTCTAATAAGGAAGGCAGTTTTTATTCCTAGGAAGAAAAAGCTAAACTTTTTTTCATAGGTATAGTTAGAAACATTTCCAGCTTACTTTAACTAAAGTAATTTTATGGTTTCTACTAACTGCAGAAATGCTCAAATTAAAATAGAAAGCAATGCCCTATGGCCTTCTTTTCCCAAGGGGATCGTTTTAATCCCTGGTGCCCTCTTCCCTCCAGCATCTGCCAAAGAGGAGGAGGAGGAGGCAGCAAGGTTCATCTGCCCCTCTGGAGGATTGCCACCCGAACTAACTGCCCACATACCCTTTTTACTAATGTTATAATAAGTCCCCATATAACAGCGGTGGACCTTGGCTATGTCTGGTTTGTAGTACAATGTGATGTGTACTGTAATTTTTGGAAAATAATCTGTTTCCTCGCCTTCACACCCTTTATATCCACCACACTTTGTGCTTATATTTCCATTTGTCATCGATAACACAGAGAAACGATCTATGTCCATACCTACATGTGCCTTTTCCAGTTCCTGGGACATCAAAGTCAAATCTTGTCGAAGCCCCAGATTTCCAGTGCCCAAGTCGTAGCCATCACTTAAAAAAACCTGGCCAGTCACATGCGAGTGCACTGTGGTGAGGGACATCCCATTGTACTCCTCTCCCCCCAGCACTGGCTACCAGACTGTGGTCTGTTGGTGGAAGGTAGTCAAGGCTCCAGGTCAGGATTTCTCAAGGCACCAGGCGGCCTTGGGATCGTGTAGCTGGGTACTCGGGCAACACATCTCCCCCACAGGGTCACCAAGACCCCATTTATAACTCTGCTGCTATGGTGTTTTGGGGCTTTTAACTTTGGTATTCTGGTAAAATGCACAGTCCAGAACGGCTCCACAGCAGAGAAGAGGGAAATGTTTGTGTTCTGATGGGGATTGTGATGCTAGCCAATCCTAAGGCTTGCTCACGGTGAGATAGACTGAGGATCCATTAGAATGGGGGACTGGGCTGATGGGAGGTGTGAGAGCCTCAGATATGTTCTGCCAAGGGTCAGGTCCTTCCTCCTCCGTGTGGAATTGAGTGCTCCATCATGAATGTCAGGTGGTGAGGATGCATTGGTCTTCATGTGGCTCTCCCAGCCAGTGGCTGTTACTGCATCCCTGGAATCAGGACCTTTGAGAATGGCTGTATGGCCATTCCAGAGTCAGTTG